TTTTAACTTATAAAATTATTCTTTTATCAATTTCATATAGAATAATATACTATGATGATTGCCTTAAAACTTGTGAACTTAATTAATCTATACCAGGAGAGTTACCTTATTTGTGTATTCAAAATCTATTCAATTGATTTTCCTTTCTAAAATTTAATAAATAGATAATTGAAGAGACATTCTTTAGCTACATCTAGAAAAACATCCTTTAAGATTTAAGTAGCAGCTAGATCTTAAGGATTTCCATTAAATGTAATTAGTACCTCATTTATAATATTCTTATGATCAATGGTATTTAAGGAATTCAAGATTTTATTCAAATAAGTTTTATTTTAATTAAATATTTAAATTAGTTGGAAAGAGATCATTTATAAGGGTGTAGTTTATAATGGAGTATCAAAATTTTCTTCACTAAATTAGATATATCTCTCTATAAAAAGATTTTAATTATCCAAATTATTATGAAAAAATAAAACTAATTATATATATAACATTAATTCTACTTAGCTGAAATAAAAGAATATAAAAAATTAGAATTTAAATTTTTAAAGCAGAAATGAATAAAACAAAAAGACAGTAATGAAAAAAATTGATCAAAATTACAAGTCAATAAATAAGAGATACAGAAGGAATAATGAATTAATTTCATAGTGGTTCAATCAAAAAAGAAGTACAAATTGTTAGCATATGCATATCTTATAGGATAATTTTTATACTTAGCTTATTGTATATAGCATGATTATATATAATTTAGTTGAGCTCCTTAAAAAAATTCAACAGCAATAATAATTTTGCAAGTCCAAATACCCATGTATAATCTAGAAATAACTTAATACAGTAAATTAATTGATCGGCTAGAAGTTTTCCAAACTTATAATATAAAAATATATGAATTTTGAAAATTTAATTTTTAAAGATTTTAATTAATGGGAAAGATAGAAAAGGAAAAGTTAAATCTTTTAGATGATAAGAAGCAGAGACCACACAATAAATCTTCATAAAGATGGAGGCACCTAGAACAATGAGGGATATTGTTAGGTTAAGTAAAAACAATATAATTGCTTAGCTTAAAAAAAAATGTTATTATTAGATTAAATGTTATTTTATTTTGTAAATAAAGCTTTTAATTATGAACTTAAGTTATATAAATTAATCGTGATAAAAGAAAAATTAATTATAAAAGCTCAAAAATTAGTTCATCTAAAACAATTTAATACATGGGATGATTTAATCTCTAGATCAGTTTAGTGTAGATATTTAAAACATTTAAATACCTCAGGAATTTGGAATATAAAAATTGACAAATTAATTATAATCTAATGTAATTATGAATCACAACAGAATTGAACAAGAAAAAAAAATAAGAGACAAAGAAGAAAATAGATAGATTGAATAACAAAAGGGATTTATAAATTGAGGAAGAAGAAAAAAATAAATATAAACGAGAAAAAAGACTATAAATTATTTAAGAAAAAAATAGAAGAAGGATTGAAGGAGTGGAACTAGAAAGGAAACTATAAATGGAAGAAGAAAAAATAAGAGAAAGGAAACTAAAGATTGAAGAAGAAAATAAAGTATGGATTGAATAAGAAAAAAATAGAAAGGAAGAAGAAAGGGAACTATATATTGAAGAAGAAAAAAGAAGATAGATTGAATAAGAAAAAATAAGAAAGCTACAAATAAGGAAGCAATAATTTGAAGAAGAAAATAGATAGATTAAAGAACAACGATGGATTTAATAAGAAAAAATTAGATAGGAAAAACTAAAAATTGAAGAAGCCAATAGACTAAAGATTGAATAAGAAAATATTAGATAGGAACAAAACAATATTGAGTAGAAACAAAAAGAAAGAAGAATACAAAAGCCAGAAGAGGAAAGGATTAAATAACAAACTTAATTAATAGGTTTGAAAAATTATTTATAATAATAACTATAAATTTGTAATGTAAAATAGAATATTGAAGGTTCAAATCCTGATGTCTTATTTTATGTTTTAAAAGAATCATAATTAAGGATTAAAAAGAATATATAGCTTATTTCAATAAAGCAAGAGATGATGCATTACTAAAAGCTAATCAAAATAAGGAATATAACAATTTAAAAGTCACTTTATCTATTGACGATTTTAATCCTAAATATAATATGAATCGGGATGATTTTTGTGAGAAAGAGTAGAAAGGATCTCCTTATGGAAGATATGATTATTATTTTCCAAAAGGTTGTTAGGGACTTGGGTTAAATGTAGAGAAATATGGAAAAAATTAAGACTGGATACAAATGGATGGCAATTCTGAAGAATGGAGAATTCTATATCATGGCACAAAAAATTTTTGTGTTAATTCAATAGTGAAAAATAATTTAAAACCTGGAAAGAACAATGGTTATAAAGATCATGATTGCAAGAATGAATTCGGGGAACCATAGAAGGCAGGAATTAGAATTTATTTCTCAGATAAGATTAATGTTTGTCTTTCTCCTTAATATGGTTATGCTCCACATATTTAAGTTGGTGAGAAATAATTTGCAGTGCTTTTTATGACAAGAGTAAATCCAAAAAAAATTAGGTAAAGCATTTCAATGCAGTAAATTAATTATTTTGTTGTGAATGAGTCAAAAGATGTCAGACCATATAGAATTTTATTACATGAAAAGAAATGAATGAACTATTAATTAAAAATGCATTTTATTATTCAAATGAATTTGCTAAATCTCTTTAAATAATTTTAATTA